GGAAGGAGCAGACGGCCCCTGTGGGGCCCCTGACTGGGTCTCACACCGTGAGACCTTTTACACCGTGTGGCTGGCTGGTGGAAAGCAAAACTGCAGGCCCCTGTGCTGAGAGGTGGCAGCTGTGGCCCAGGGACTGGCCTCACGTTAAGAGACCAAGCCATTGTCTTTGCGGTTGTGTCGTGTGCGTTTGAAAGTTGCATAGTGAACAGGGAAGAGAGATGCAGATTTGACGTGTTCGAACTATGGTGTTTCTGAAGCACTGACTATACCGTAGACAGCTGAAAGAATAGACAGCTCAGTCTTAGAGGAAATACCACCAGAAGGTTTCTCAAGACTAGCAAGGCTTCAGCTGGCTGGCTTTGGACGCATCATCGGGAGAGAGTCACCAGCAGAGGCCAAGCGAAAATGAAGGAAGCCCTCAGGGGGATGGACTGAGCCAACACCCAGTACTGGAAGCAGACCACGAGTCTGAAGACTGCTCAGGACCGGCGGCGTCTGTCTTCTGTGTAAGGTTGCCCTGAGTCAGACTTGAGTCGTAAGCGACCAACAAGAATAACGCTTGTGGATAAAGCACTGGGAAGAGACCAGGGCCCGTCCGGCGGAATGGACTCCGACTCATCACGGCCCATGCGTGTCAGAGTAGACCTGTGCTCCAGTAGGGGTTTCACCGGCTGGCTTTTCAAAAATGGGTCACCAGGCCTTTCTGCCAAGGAGTGTTTCGGTAGACTCCAGCCACCAACCTCTTGGGTAGCAGCTGAGGCATTAACAGTTTGCACCCCCCAGGGACTAGGGAAGGGAATAGAGATCTATGGGTTTTATTTCTGCCTGGTGAGAAAGAAAAGGAGTTCTAGTGGTGTAGTGCCTAAGGCATTTGGCTGCTAACCAGAAGGTTAGTGGTTCAAAGCCACGAGCCGCTCTGTGGAAGGAAGATGGGGCAGTCTACTTCTGTAAAGATCTACTTACTGCCTTGGAAACCCAGTGGGGGTCCCTGTGGGTCTGAATCGATTCGATAGCAGTGGGTTTGGTTTGGGTTTTGTGGTGAGAAAGGAAACCTTCATGGGAGATTACTGGTTGAATAGAAGCCCGCACTGACAGTGGGGTACCTTGACCCCAAATCGGACTTGGATTCCTGAGTCCAGTATTGCACCCCACCACCCCTCACCTGCCTCGAGTGGACCAGAGACCCTGATAAGGTTTCAGAATGAATTAGAAAGGAAATTTCCAGTCAAGTTTGGGGTCAAGGCCAGGATGAGGGATGATGTTGGTCAAGGATTGGGGAGCAAGGGACCCCCCTAATTAGATGTGTGTTGTGTGACTTGGTCTTTGTGTATCACCTCTAGATAGACTCTGCTTTGCTCTTACTGTTTCAGGGATAATCCTTTCTTTTCTTGTTTTTTTTTTAACAGCTGGGAAATTGTGGTTCTAACCTCTTTCTCTTAACTGTAGTCATGACATAATGTGTTTGTTCAGACCTTCTCACAGGGCACTTACAGAGGGCAGCGTTCTGTGCTCACAAGCTCAGGTTTTAAGAGGGAGAGAAAGAGAAAACTTTAAATGTTAGATGTGGAACTGCAGACTTACACAGGGACCAGGGCCGCCAGCCACGCCAGCCTCCCACCCGTCCCTGCTGTTCAGAGACCAAATCGGGCGCTTTCGCTCTTTCCTTGGGGCCACAAACGGGATGATTAATGAATAATCCACCGGGCAGGTTTGTGCCACACCCAGTTGGTTCAGTCGCAGCCACCCTGCAGCTGACCCTTGTTCCTCTATATCCAGGGCTGGGCGAGGACGAAGGGCCTTTGGGGGCACAGAGCCCCCATGCCTCCAGCTCGCTCTCTCTCTCCTCCTCTCTTTTTCTCCCCCCCACCCCAATCTCTCTCAGAGGAACATAGTAGGAAGAGGGGTCCTGGGGCAGAACTTAATTCTCTTCCCCCTCCACTACCCACAGCAGTGTGATCATGGACAGGTTCCTCCCCCTGCACCTCCGTTTTCTCATTCCTCAAATGCAGGTGGGAATCCCCCCTACGTCGAAGCAGAGTTGTGAGGGATAGGAAAAACCATGCACACCCCACTGTCAGGCATTAAGGAATCAACCCATGGGACATTGAGCCCAAGGGTGACTAAATCCTTTTTACCTTTTATGAGTCGATTCCAACTCATAGCAACCCCCATTGGGTCTCCGAGGTGGTAAATCTTTACAGAAGTAGATTGCCCAGTCTTGCTTCTGCAGAGTGACTGGTGGGTTTGAACCACCAACCTTGTGGTTAGCATCAGATGCCTTAGGCACTGTGAATTCACAGCGCTCAGAGGCTAATCCCGTGGTGTCAGGCCCGTTTAGCGTGCATGGCATAGATGCGGTATCCCGAGTCTGCCCCCATGCCACACCTCAGAAGGACTGCTGTGACTTTGATGTGGTCCCAGCCGGATGGGACAGGGCACGATGGGACGAGTGGCATGGATGAACCTGGCTCGGATCCCCTGTCCTGGCCCAGCCCACAGGCGAGGGCCCATGGTGCCAAGGACCGCTGCGGGCCGCCTTTCCAGGCAAGTGCCTGCTTGTGAGGAAGAGGGAACTCCTTTGATTGCTAAGTCAATGAACTCACACATGCATGAGTGCACGTATGCACACACTCATACACAGACACAACACACGGGTGCACACACGTGCACACCCCATGACGGTCTGCTCGCGCAGACGGCACACATGCAGGTGCACACAGTGCATACCTGGCTGGCGTGTGTGCACAAGCTCCCCCCGCATGTACATATGCACGCTCATTCCTACCATTAGCAAAGGGAGAGGCGGCCTTGTTCGGTGCCCCACCCCCTTCTGCAATTTCCTTCCTGGCAGCAGGTCTGGAAGAACCTTGGCAATGGAGATAAAGTGCTGGGGGTGGGGCAGGGAGGGGAGTCTGGGGGGAGGGACGAGGTGGAAGGGCGCCGATTCTCAGATTCTCACGCTGCTGCAGCTGAGGCCAGCTGGCTTCTTCACGAGAGGCCAGCAGCTCCCTTTCCAGAGACAGCCGGCCAGAGTCCAGCTTCCAGGGCCCCGTTTTCTGTGAAGTGGGGTGACAGTGATCATGATCGGTCCCCCTCAGGGTCGAGGTGGGATCCTAGGGTGTGACAGAGCTCTTGTCAGCATCCGTGTTACCTGCAGGAACCTGGGGCTGGAGCTATGAGACAGAGCTGGGCTCAGCTCCCAGTCCACCCTTGACTGACTGGCTCCGGGACCCCAGGCAGGTTACTCCCCTTGTCTGCTTCAAACTGTCTGTAATGGGGACCAGGGGAGCACCCGTCTATCAGGTTCACATGTGGAAGGCACTTGCGTGGTGCCTGGCACATAGCAAGCACCCAAAGACTGAGTTGTTGTGCCATGGGAAGGGACGACTATGAACTGCAGGGGAGTCGAGCCCAGCCTCCTGACTCAGCCAGAGCTGGCCCTCAGCCGTTGGGCACAGCCCCAAGTGCTCGCACAGGTGCGCAGACAGGCTGTGAAAGGAGAGTGCTGGCAGTGGCCCGAGGGCTGGCACTGTGGGTGAGAGGGCCTGTGGCTTCAGCCGCACCTTGCCCCACAGCCTGCGCCCTGCACTCGGGCCCCAGGCCCAGCTGACCTCCCTCCTCGGTATTTTCATCCTCTCCACTGCGTCCCCACTGCCCTCAGGCCCAGCTGGACGTTGCCTGCCACCTCTTCTGCCCTTTCTTCCTCGCAGTAGCCAGGGGACCATCTGAAGGGAGAGCTGGCCCTCGCACTGCCCTGCTCTCAGTGTTCCCCACTGTCCCCAGAGTCCATCTTCCTTCACAGGCTCCTAAGGCGTCTGGGTCCTGCCTCCCCCTTCTCACCTCTTCCCTCCAGGTGTTCTGGCCACACCAAGGATGGGCAGCCGTTTGTGAGTGGCCATTGATTGGAGCCAGCCTGGACCTGCCTGGGGCAGTGTATTGGGCTGTGCTCTGTGACAAACTGTCCCACTCTGTCATTGGTTTACTTTATGAGTTTATTTCACTGACACACTGTGTGTCAGCTGGGGGGTGGACACTCTGCTCCACACAGTCCCTCCAGGGCCCCGGGTGTTAGAGGTTCCACTACCTTGTAGCTGTACTGTTTGGAACAGTGGCCTTGTCATCCCATCAGCCAAGGATGACAGTGCTGGAGGGTCACAGGCAGGCCTTGTGCTTCAGCCTGGAAGTGACACGTCATTTCCACCGTGATCTGGGCCTTTCAGATTGCAGCTGCAGTGCCACTTCCTCCAGGAAGTCCTCCCTGATGTCATGTACAAACCTCCATTACTACCTGCAGCACAGTGGGTCCCAGTGGCCTCACCCACATGACTCTGTGTGTCTGGAAGGGCTGGGCGGAGGCTTTCCCTCTGAGCTCCCAGTGCCTGGCACAGGGCGTAGTCACACAGCGATGCGCAGAGAAGTTTGAAGGAACAGAGGCAATACTAGAGAAGGCAGGAAGCTCGAGGTGCCTGGACGATGAGGGTGGTGGCGGTGCCGTTTGTCAGGTGCTTGTCCTGTGCTGTGGGGTCTAAGCGTGTCGTTCAGGGTATTCCTCGTGGCACGTCTGAGAACTCCCGCTGCCCTCGTTCTACACACAGGGGGACCGAGGCTCCTGATGCTGGCTCAGAGACAGGCCGCTCGTCGTGGAGGGAGGAGCTCGGGCTACCTGCTGAGATGAGGGGGAGCCGAGGAGTGTGATGAGTTCTCTTGGTGCTTTTCTGCTTTTTTGTGTTCACACCTGAAGTGATAAGAAGGCTCGAAACGTCAGCAGACAGAGGAACGATCATTATACCCTACCCCCACCACGTCTCACCGGGGCTGTACCAACAGGCACAGTTTCTACACTTTCCATAGTTACAGGCTGTTAGGTTGGTCACCCCTCAAAGCCACATAACTGTCCACATAGAGCTGACCGCTGTCCTGGTCCCCTCTTCTGTATTCCCAGGTGTCCCGCCGTCAGAGCAGAGCGTCTCACGTCCCTTGCCCCGTTTTGTGTCCCACAGATGTCATGGCACCCCCAGTACCGGAGCTCCAAGTTCCGCCACGTCTTTGGCAAACCCGCCAGCAAGGAGAACTGCTACGACTCAGTGCCCATCACCCGCAGCGTCCATGACAACCACTTCTGTGCTGTGAACCCCCACTTCATTGCAGTCGTGACGGAGTGTGCTGGGGGGGGTGCCTTCCTCGTCATCCCTCTGCACCAGGTAAGGACGCTGGGAGCTCCAGGCCGAGGCAGCTCTCTGGGGGGCACCACGGGACAGAGGGAGGCAGGAGGAGCCAGGGTCACTAGTCCTTTCTGTGGGTCCAAGTCACAGCCCTGCTTTTACCAACCGTGTGGCTTTGGGTAAGTCATTTCACCTCCTTGAGCTTTGGTTGAGCTTTGGTTTCCTTGTTGAGCAGAATGTGTCTATCCTGGAATTTCAGCTTCCATCGACTGGTCTGGATCTCCAAGGACCTCCTCTCTGCCCCACTGCAAACTAATTCACTCCTGAGTAAAACAAGTTTTAATGAATGGCTGGATTCACAGGAAGATGGAGAAGTCTCCAAAGCCACCTTCCTCCCCCAGAAGGAAATAAATGTTCAGCCAAAAGCTAGCTGGGAGAGAGGTCATCAGCGAGCAGAGAGGACAGGTTGGTCCTGAGCACAGATGCTGATGGTATAGGTTGGACCACGGGAAATTTCTGCTATTCAGCCATTTTTGAGCCCCCACCATGTAATTTCCTCTAGTCCAACCTAGCATCAGGTCCTTTCAGGCTGTCGAGTGGTAGGTTGGCAAAACAGAGTCTGTGACTTGAGCCAGACCCCAAGGAGATAGGTTCTAGGTTGGCAGTGCCTCTGGTTGCACCAGAAACAGATAAGAAGCATCTCCAGAGGAAAACGGCCCCTGTGTGGGCAGGATTCCCACAGGTTAGGGTCAGAAAAACGTGAGTTCACAACTGGCAATCACCGGCATGTAAACCTCGGTGAGAATCAGCTGAAGCAACGAAGAACAGGCGCAGCCCTCAGAGGGTTTCGGAAGTTAAAGTTATAAACATGAGCTCCAATCTCACAGACTGGGTTCTCTGATCACAGTGCGGTTGAGGTAGAAGTCAAAAGCAAAAGATGAATTTTGGATTCCCATTCATTTGGAAATTTGAAAACACATTTCTAAATAATGTATAGGAGCTCTGGTAGCATAGTGGCTAAGGCACTTGACTGCTAACCAGAAGGCTGGCGGTTCAAACCCACCAGCCACTCCTTGGAAGGAAGGTTGGGCAATCCTACTTCCGTAGTGATACTGCCTCGGAAACCCAAGGAGGGGTCGCTATGAGTCAGGGCTGACTCGACGGCACATAACAACAACAACAAATCATGTATTGGTCAAAATGAAAACTTAAAATACCTGAAACTGAACAATAATGAAAGCACGTGATAAAACATGAGGAGTGCAGGGACAGTGATGCTTTAAGGGAAATACTGTGGTGACAGTGTTACATGGTGCAGTTAAAAAAAAAATCAGCATAGCAAGCTTATGAAAGTATCTCCCAGGGAGAGGGCACAGTTGGCAGAGAATGTGTAACACAGGCACTGTTTGTGTAAAAATACTATGTATAACACTGAATGCTTCTATAAAAAAGAAGAAAGGCTGAAAATTGAACATCCCACTGAAGAAATCTGCAGAAATCAATGAAAGATAAAGCAAAGATACATTGCTGCTGCTGCTGTTGTTAGGTGCTGTGGGTTGGTTCCAACCACAGTGACCCTGGACAACAGAACCAAACACCGCCAGGTCCCGTGCCGTCCTCGCAGTCCTTGCTGTGCCTGAGCCCGTTGTTGCTGCCACCCTGTCAGTCCATCTGGCTGAGGGTCCTCCTCTCTTTGGCTGAGCCTCTACATTACCGAGCATGATGTCCTCCAGGGACTGGTCCCCCCGACACCATGCCCAAAACACATGAGACAGAGGCTCGCTGTCCTGCTTCTAAGAACCTTTCCGGCTGTACTTCTTCCAGGACAGATTTGTCTGTTCTTCTGGCAGTTTGTGGTATTTTCTGTATTCTTTGCCAACAAAGGCATTAATTCTTTTCTGGTCTTCCTTATTCATTGTCCAGCTTTCACACGCATATGAGGTGACTGAAAATACCATGGCGTGGGTCAGGTGCACCTTAGAGTTCAAGGTGACATCCTTGCATTTTAACACTTTAAAGATCTTTTGCAACAGATTTCCCCAGTGCAATATGCTGTTTGATGTCTTGACTTCTGCTTCCATGGGCATTGATTGTGGATCCGAGTAAAGTGAAATCCCTAATAACTCAGTCTTTCTCTGTTTATCATAATGTTGCTTATCGGTCCAGTTGTGAGGATTTTTGTTTTCTTCGTGGCAGTCCATATTGAAGGCTGTAGTCTCTCATCTTCATCAGTGAGTGCTTCAAGTCCTCTTCACTTTCAGTGAGCAATGTTGTGTCATCTGCATATCACAGGTTGTTAGTGACTCTTCCTCTGATCTGAGGCTGTGCTCTTCTTCATGTAATCCAGCCTCTCGGATTATTTGCTCCACATACAGATTGAGTAAGTGTGGTGAAAGGATACAACCCTGATGTGTACTTTTCCTGATTTTAAGCCACGCAGTATCCTCTTGTTGTATTCAAATGACTGCCTCTTGGTCTATGTGCAGGTTCCTCAGGAGCATAATGGTGTGTTCTAGAATTCCCATTCTTCACAATGTTATCCATAATTTGTTATGATCCATGGCTTTGCAGAGCTAACAAACACAGTAAACATCTTTCTGCCATTCTCTGCTTTCAGCCGAGATCTGTCTGACATCCGCAATTCCTCATTCCGCGTCCTCTTTGAACCTGGCTTGGATTTTTGGCCTTCTCTGTTGATGCACTGCTGCAACCATGTTTCAGTTATCTCCAGCAAAACTTTCCTTGCATATGTATCAATGATACTGTTTGATAATTTCCACATCCTGTTGGATCACCTTTCTTTGGGATGGACACAGCTACAGATCTCTTCCAATCAGTTGGCCAGGTAGCCATCTTCAGATTTTTGGCATAGATGAGAGAGCACTTCCAGCATTGCATGCACTTGTTACAACATCTCAGTTGGTATTCCTTCAATTCCTGAAGCCTTGTTTTCCGCCAGTGCTCTCAGTCAGCTTGGCCTTCTTCAGTACCTTTGGTTCTTGATCATATGCTAACTCCTGAAATGGGTGGACATCAACCGTTCTTTTTGGTTCAGTGACTCTGTGTATTTCTTCCATCTTCCCTTGATGCTTCCTGTGCCGTTCAATATTTTTCCCATGGAATCCTTCAGTATTGCAACTCAAGGCTTGCATTTTTCTTCAGTTCTTTCAGCTTGAGAAATGTCTAGTGTGTTCTTCCCTTTTTCTCCTTCTAAGTCCACATCTTCGTACATTTCACTGTCACACTCTGTCTTCTTGAGCCACCCTTTGACATCTTCCCTTCAGCTCTTTTGCTCCATCAGCTCTGCACTCGCTTTAGCTACTCTACAAGAGCTAACTTCAGAGTCTATTGGGACATTCATTTTGGTTCTTCCTTTCCTGTCTTTTTCATGACCTTTTGCTTCTTCATGTATGATGTCCTCCCATAAGTCCTCTGGTCTTTGGTCATTAGTGTTTAGCGCATCAGATCTGTTCTCGAGGAGGGCTCTAAGTTCAGGTAGGAAATACTGAAGTCATACTGTGGCTCTTGTAGACTTAATGTTCTTCAACTTCAGCTACACCTTGCATGCGAGCAATTGGCGTGTGTTCTGCAGTCGGGCCCAGGCCTTGTCCTGACTGATGATACTGAGCTTCTCCACCTACTCTTTCCACACGTGTGGTCAGTTTGATTCTGTGTATCCCGTCTGGCAAGGCCCACGTGTATAGTTGCTGTTTTCTTGTTGATGAAAGGTATTTCCAGTGACTAAGTCATTGGTCTTGAAAAATACTATCATGTAATCTCCAGTGTCATTTCTTTCACCACGGCCATATTTTCCAACTACTGATCCTTCTTTGTTGTTTCCAACTTTCACATTGTAATCACCAGTAATTATCAATGCATCTTGATTCATGTTTGATCAATTTCAGATTGCAGAAGTTGGTAAAAATCTTCAGTTTCTTCGTCTTTGGCATTAGTAGTTGGTGTGTGAATTTGAATAATTTTATGCATATGGATAGTATCATAACACTGAAGCACTGCACTTCAGGACAGATCTCAAAATGTTCTTCTTGACAGTGAATACAACACCACCCCTCTTCAATGTGTCATTCCTGGCATTACACAGATCATATGGGTGTGTGATTCAAAATGGCCAACACCAGTCCATCTCAGCCCCCAATGCCTGGGATACCTGTCTCCATTCCATTCTTGACAACTTCCAATTTCCTAGATTCATATTCCGTACATTCCACATGCCAGCTATTAATGGGTGTTTGCCGCTGTCTTTTCTCATTTGGAGTCGTGCCACATCAACAAAGGGAATGCTTTGCTCCGTCCGTGGTGTCGAGGTCGACTGTGCTCTGAGGAGGCACTCTTCCCCAGGGGTGCTCTGAGAGCCCTCCCGCCTGAGGGGCTCATCTGCTAGCGCTGCGTCAGACAGCGTTCTGCTGCTGTTTGTAGACTCTTTGCTGGTCAGGTTTTTTACAAAGTACATCACCAAGTCCGTCTTCCTTTTCTGTCTTAGTCTGGAGGCTCTGCTGAAACCTGCCCACACGGGTGACCCTGTTGGTGTTTGAAATACTGGTGGCATGGCTTCCAGCCTCACAGCAACACAAGCCACGATAGTGACAAGTGGTGGTAAAAGTACACTGTTGTTGTTGTCACTGTGAGCCGTCCAGTCGGACCTGACTCACAGCGACCCCTCCTTGGGTTTCCGAGGCAGTATCACTACGGAAGTCGATGGCCCCATCTTCCTTCCGAGGAGTGGCTGGTGGGTTTGAACCACCAGCCTTCTGGTGAGCAGTCAAGTGCCTTAGGCACTATGCTACCAGAGCTCCTAAGTACATTAGGGAGGATCAAAACTGCCAAAAATTAGTTCCTAAAAAGAACTGACTAAGTGGACAAAGTTCTGGAGAATAAAAGGAGAAGATACAAATCACATCAGGGGAAGAAAAGGCAGTATGACAACAGAGCTTTGAAATGTATCAAGACACTAATATGAGCAACTGTACGTCACAAATTTGCAAACATTGACAATATGGCTGTTCTGGTTACCCAGTGCC